GGAATCGCCTTTGTGAGAAAGCGATTTACCCAAATGTAAAACTTCTCGATACAAATCAAGATCTAGTCGGGCCTCAATGCAAATATACTGAACACCGGGTGGAAAACCAATAATCTAGAATTATTTTTTATTTCTTCACTTTACACTTATAACTAGATCTGTTGTACAATAATATTGGAAGTAGAATAGCGACACTATTTTATGAAGTTTTGGTGATTATCAAATCATAGGCTCATGATACTCTTTGGGGTCAGCTTTCTTGGATTTTGTGTATTAAAGAAAAAACACAAGGAAACGTCCAAAGCAATTCAAATCATGTTACATTCAAAAACAGTGTGTTCTCTTCTTCTCTTATTCGCCCACGTTGCAGATTTTTGCATTAATGACCTCTAACTAGAACTTACCGCACAATATTTACAACAAATCATGTTATTTCTTTTCCACTATAGCACATCGATAAATTGAATCAAGGCGACACAATATTAATTACGATTATATATATAACAACAAGAACAACATACTGAGATTTAAACACAACTGAAGAATGATACGTAAATTTAGATGAATAGTAATGTTAAATTGAGTGCTCCTAGAATTTGCCTCAAAATACATTAAATTCAACAAGTAAAGATTAATTATCAAAACACATTAAACTCAACAAGTTAAAAAATTTCTTGCTATACAAGTCCATAGAAAGAAAATAAGGACGAAAACACAAAAGTCAGTGAAGAGAAAAGAAGTTCAAAATGCTAGGTAACAATAGTGACGATAACAACAAAGTTAGTACGTAGTAACAAACTTCTCGTCAGTGAAGAAGACAAGTAGCATTAATGGCTAATCAGAATAGGTGATGAAACAACAATAATAATAATAAGCGCCGGTACAAACTTGATATTCACCTATGTATATCCTTAATTTCAAGCTTACTTTTGCTAATCTTCTTTGTCGGCCTTTGAAGAGGCGGATCCAAAAGGAGTTCAATTGAACTTACTGTTTTCAACTCTGAACTATCTATGCATAAGAAGAGGCTATGGGCGTTCAATTGGACTTATTGTTTTCAACTCAAACTATCTATGCATACTGAGCTGCCGCTATGTGCGGGGTTTGGGGAAGGACCTATTGTATGTAGTCTTACAATGCATTTTTGCAAGAGGCTATTTTCACGGTTCGAACACGTGACCTCCAGGTCACATGATGAAGAAAAGGTTAAATATGTAATTTATACATGTAATAAGATTACATTCATTACTGACTATATCCTGGAATCGTAATGGAACTGTCGACTCTAGATCCTGGAAACGCAACAACAACAAACTCAATGTAATCCCATAACCTTGTAGAGATAGAGAGGCTATTTCCGATAAACCCTCGGCTGGAACAGTGGAAATCTTGGAAATGCCAAGAACAGATTTAACTTACCGGTTTGATGTTGGATTCGGCCCGCTAGGAACTGCATGCTCACTAGCTTCAAATTGTCTCTTAGTACCACTAGAAGAAGAAGATGATGAAGATCTACGAGGATTTGTGGGGATCTTTCTTGAGTTCAAGTTAATCGTAGCTGTAGCTGAAGAGGAATGATCATTGTTATCATGATCAGAAGAAGACTGAACAAAAATGAGGAAGAGGAAGAAAAGGGTGAAGAGGAAAATGAAAGAGTGAGAGTTAAATGTGGAGATTTCAGATTTTCTCAATGTTGTCATGCAATAATTAATCAATTGAAGACAGCAGAAAGGGAAGAGAGAGAGAGAGAAAACAAAAGACAGAAAGAAGGGGGACGAAGCTTTAGTTTGGAGAAATTAAAGTGGATGAAAGCCAGAAAAAGGAGAGATCTTATGGGATACACATTTGCTTAGAGAATTGAAGAACAAAAAAGAACCTATCCAACATGCAGGGATTATATATTGAAGGTGCAAGATTATGTTGAAATTGACTTTGGTGACCCTTCTTCTTAATAAGCATTTATATCAATTATTAACTAAAGTGATCACCCTAATATATCTGCTAAATTACATTGAGTGTTTTACCTTTTGTACGTGAATTTTATAGTATTTGGTCGCCTAAAATGTAACTATTAGTAATCATCCATAATTAGTAAGATTAGTAACCTATTTACGTGGATTTTGCGACAAGATTTGTGTGGTCTATTTAGTCATTTGATTTCACTTATAAGAGAAAAAACGACTCATTGATTTAGGTATTAAATCAGAAGATGAGAAAGAAAACAAGCAAACCAACAGCTGTAGATCTGCTATTCAAATATTGACAATTAGTGTCTAAAATAGGAAAAGAAATTAAACCAACCAATAATGTTTTCCATGACAAAGATTTAGGACTCAGAAGTCAAAGGAAAAGACCATTGACAAGATTATTTATGCAAATAGAGGATTGTGAAACGCACCAAAAAATAAGGAATATTGTAATTAGCACTTAACAGTATAACACACAGCTTCTCATCCTTTTTTTTGTGTAATAACATTATATTCATTAACCCCAAGTTGGTACTGGTATTTAAGAACAAAAAATGTACAGATTACAGGGGGTCTTGTATCTTATAAGGAATCTAAAAATTTACAAGTGATTCTGCATCCTCTATAGAAAAAACAATTCAGCTTAATTCTTTGTATGGAACCCGACACAATTGGTTTGGTTTGGTAATTGTAAAATCCGAACCAACCCGGCCTATGTATACCCATATCTATAGATATGCAAGTGAACCTGGATTTTACTGGCACTATTTGAATATCATGACCCACTAATCTTTATTTCAACAAATGCTAAATAATCTCTCGAGTCTAATCTTGGTGCCAACTTGACAAAAATATTTATCTTATACTTAGCCATTTTCCAGGCTATTTATTCTATATCCATAACAAAGTAAAACATGAGTAGATATATAATTGCCAATAGGCATAAAATAAATTCCAATACCCCGGGGTGGGGTGGCGGGGTTGCAGTAGACCTGTCTTAATCTAATTTGGTTGATGAGGTACAGATGAAAAAAATCTTAGTACTATTTTTAGGGCCTTTGCATGAAACCATAAAGCAAAATAATAATTGTACCTGTAGGATCGATATAAAGCTTTAGCACCTAGTTTTTGCTTTTTTCTTCTTTTCTTTTCTTTTCTTTGTGGGGACTAGAGAGGGGCATGGGGCCAATAATGCAGAAATAGACGTATATATTGGTCCCTATTTCATTTACTTTTTCAATTAATCATTTGGTATTCAATGACCCATGCACTGACCCAACTAATTCGAATTAACGTGGTATAGGCCTACTATGTGGGAAGAGGTAAAGCACTCCCTACTGAACATTATTCATTCTCAGGGCTCAAAGCCGAGGTCTCCAATTACGTGTATTGAAGGGCTCGAAACTGAGGTCTCCAATTACGTGTATTGAAGGAATTCCATCCTATCAGACCTCTTGGTACATTAATACCTAATTGAAACACTGATTTTGAGCTGCAGATTCTTTTTTTCTTTTCTTTTTCTGGATTTTTTGGAGCATCTTGATTCACATACGTTTCTTTCTCCTTAGTTCTGATCTTCAAAATTGAAACATGAAGCAACAAACATCTCAAGAGGAATTGAATAAAAGTAACATATGCTTTTTCTCTTTTGTACTGTCAAATCTTGCATGCCTGTATGACTGATAAGTATTGACTGAGCTAACTAAGCATGCATCATAAAAGTACCATCTGCCTTCATCTTCCATTCAAAGGCAGATTATCTTGTGGTCCTTTACTCCACAAAAAATTGATTATCGTTTATCTTGAGCACAATATATTGTTCAATGATTAGTCTCTAATATCAAGAAAAAAGAAACGAGACCAACTGCAATGCCACCCCATCAGAGACAATTTGAAACTAACTATATTACACCCCACCTGTTCTAAACTCAACTTAAACTAGATTCTTCGTAAAGTGAGCACATTTACAACAACAACAAACCCAATGTGATCCCACATAGTGGGAGGGCAGTGTGTACGCAGACCTTGCCCCTATCTCGTGGAGATAGAGAGGTTGTTTCCAATAGTGAACACATTTACAAATTTCAAAATCTATTTATTTTAAGATTTAGTACCACTCAAGAAATAGTTGAGGTGAATCCATGATTTGTATTTGATCGGCTCAATCTTTAAAATTCTTAGCACTAAACTCGCTATACTTCTGAATTTATGGGTTCATATACATATTTGTTGAAAGCAAACTGTATAACCCTGATAATTAGGTCTCCTAGGGAAAGTGAAAGTTCAAAGTGGGAAAAGGTTACTTTATGCAAAGTGAAACACTATGAAATAGTGTGAATTAATTAGTGTATAACAAGAATTTTCTTAGAGACTTATCGTGTAAAGGTGGTAGGACACAACAGAAAGGTTATCCTCTGAGATTACTTTTGCTTTTCTACCCACTCTTATTACCTACCCTGGTCTTGTCCTTGTCTCCAATGTTTGCATCCATTGGTTTCCATAATACTTTAGTGATTTGTGCAAAGTTGCAAACGTGCTAACAATTTTGTGATTTATGAGCTGAAGATTCTCTAGCTTCGGTTCTGGTCCTAGCCAAGAGTTCAAATACAGAGTGCAACTTCGAGCTTGACAAATATTGTAGATAACAGAACACTTCCAGTAATGCTCATACTCGTGATCTACGAAAAACTTTAGCACAGTTTGAGACAAAGTGGATAAGTAGCAACCAGAGATGCTACTGAAATCAAAATGATGAGACTATAATTATATATAGCAGAAGCTTCCGAACTAGTAGTATTTAAAGTGTGTGATCAAATGGAAAAACTTTTTCCCAGTAGCTTGACTCACTCGTTGAGAAAAGAACATGTAAAACAGATAAAGTTAATAGTGCTTTCATTGAGCACTGAGGTTCTGGAATTCTAAAAGCATTGATTAGCTTTCTTTTTAATTTGCGTTTCTTATATATAATGGTTTTCAGACAGCTAAATAAGTTGGGATTAATCTTGAATGAATTTGAAAGTAAATCTGCAGATGAGAGATAGAACAGTACCTTGTAGGACTTCCCTTCAACTATTGAGAAAAAAACTGAAGAATCCCAGCTACAGATCTCAGTAATACTGTATTCTTTGTCAATACATGTTTAAGATAATGCATCGGGAAAATTTTGTAGCAAACACAAAAAGGAGACTGGCCAGTGCCTAGTTCTTCCACCGCAGGGATTGTCTTATCCCAGTGTAAATAAGCCCCAATGATCTCCCTATCAAACAAACCAGAAAGAATGAGATTGCATCACTCACCTTAGCGATAACAGTTCTCATCAATGGCATTGCAATATCAGCCAATTCAAGGAAAAGACTGTAGTAGTATCTCCTGTAAAGGATAAGAAAACACAGGTTGGTAAGTTAATTTTCTTTTGGACAATGCCTCCACAGGCAAAGAAATTGGGACCTATAGAGAATTGGAACACATTCAGAAATATAACAAGATGACGAGACTAATAGTAACTAGCATCTGATTTAAAATAAAAAAAAATAAGAGCAGTTTTCCCAAGTATTCCAGGAATAAGAATTTTGACCACAAACCGCAATTAATCATTCAATAGTTTCATATGCCACATCGACAGCACATGAAACCTCAATACCAATTAAAGACAGCTTGACAACCTCAATATTTGAAATCAACCATCTCATGATTCAACATTTAACAGTCTTAGGACTAACTTTTTTATATAAATTTGAACTGTATTTCATAATCAAAAACCACTAACTAATACAGTTGCCAACCACGAATTTTTATAAATTCCTCAATCATCAACACTATTCTGGATTCCATTTCTTCTTTTGTACACTAACCCCCGCATTTTTGTAAATAATTTCTTAATTTGTCAAAAATGCCCGAGCTTTTAAGGTACCATCAAATCCTTGGTTTAGAACTATACATCTTCACCTGAATGTCCAGAATTACAAAATGTAACTCTCAAGTAAAGAAGTTACGCATTTCCTATTCCTACAATTGAAATAATCTCAATCGAGTTAATTTTCAGTCTGAGTTTGATACTTTGTTTAGCGAGTCAAGAACTGGAAAACAAAAGCTTAATTCTTCTAACAGTTGAACTTTTATTCTTTTAAATGTTAAAAGTAAATGTCCTGTTCTAACATCCAGTCTCAAATAGCATGAGTAATGAACTAGAATACCATAAAACATTATCACTAAGAATCTTGCAAATAGCCGACGAAGACCCAGAGGGCTTCACAGTGGACATAAAAGAAGAAAAACAGTCAATGTGATATGGAGGAGGTATGAGCTGTGAAGGCCTCTACTTACCACCCAGTCAAAGCCCTTAGTTCCTTGGTCCGCTTAACAGGCACAGATATATGGTCGATCACAAGAACATTCAATTGACGTGACACTGGTCTAGAACTTATTACATTAAGCTTCTTCCACCAATTAATAGTTTGATCCTTGTCCTTGCTAGATTCCTCAACAAGTTGGTATTGAAATGTGCACAAGTCAAACCGATCTTCATACATGGAGACAACTACTTCCATGTTCTGATGCAACCACTGATTGAGAGCAACCTGTTAAAATGTTTTAAAATGTGACATTAATCTCAGCATCTTTATAGTACAAAGAGTATGTTCCTTCATTCACTGCTGGTGGCTTATGGTAGTATACTCCAAGCCATTTGTTTTTCTCACAAAGCAGTAAAGCGAAAAGCACAAAGAACTGATAAGGTCCATGCAACTTGAAGCAAAAAGCAAGAAGTGAAGCACATGCTTCTTTGAAGTGAAGCGCACAATTGTAATTATTCTCAAAAAGAGCAAATGTGACTGTGTGAAGACTGAAGACAAGTTCTATATAATGCAGAGAGCATTCGGTCTCATAGCATGAAGCATTGACTTATACATGAATGCAATAACCAAATATATGGTGCCATAAGCAAAAGTTAATACCTCGTTGCGTAACTTCTGAAGTGCTCTGGTTGACATTGTACATAAACTCAAACCAAGGTTGTTCATTTCATTTGACATGCTACTATCAACAGAAATAAGGCCCAAATACATACTTGCAATCCCATCTGCCAACATAATCACCAGATCCTCCAGTATAGAGACCCCATGCTCCATAAACAAGCTGTTATCATAAAGGTCATCCTTCCTGTCATATTCAGCATTACAGCACATTAAGGCATCTTTTTGGACAATTTTCTTTCTTAATCAGGACTGGTTCGAAACTCAGAAGGAACATCTAAATAAACCAATTAAGAGGAAAATGTAACATAGTAACACATTAGAAGTTCCAGTTCTATTTATGTGGAGCTACAGTTTACCGCCATAGATCTCCATGTGAAAAGCACTTCAAAGTCTGCACATGGTAAAATCAGCATTGTTGAGGCGCGCTTTAGCGCGCGTCAGTCCTGAAGCTAGGTATAGTGCAACATAGGCACTCCCCTTTCCAATACAGACACAAAGGCGGTAAGCGCCGGAAGATAGAACAAAACAAAAATATAGTTGACAAAGTAATATCTTAATTGTTACAAGAATGTTAGCAACATGTATGTTAATGATAAGGAATTGAAAATCACAAATTTAGAATAGGAAATTAGCCACTTAATTTTATGTGTTATTTTTATTTTTTGGTAACTGAAAAATCTGTTGTTTCCAACTTCGAAACTCGGTGCATATTAGGCCCGCCTCTCTACCTACTCCACGTAAATACCAAACTTGGTTCAGCCGCCAAGATTCAAACTCGTACTCATGATGTGCGACTACACGTATTTCAGTTGTACAGCCTTAGCCCTTGAACCAAAGATCTAAGGGCTCATCTAAAATAGAGAATTATCTAAGGAATTCTCACAAAAAGATAAAAGATGCAAATGGGTCAATGACTCCTCCAACAAACCAGAGATGTAAGAAGCTTTAAGGCTAACGGTAGCTCTTCAGTGACAAGAGAGATTCAAACTGCAAATGAAGAGTAGCTATTTTTACCATATCTAAGACCGTAAGGTACACAGCTTAAATTAAGACATGGAATAGTGTTTAGGACCAGGTAGCAGTTAGTGAACCAAAGAAATCAAAGCATTCTCAACCCTCTCAAGGACAATGGTTAATAAAAGAATACAGAGTGATAATAACACCCAGTTCTACTAAGTACAAGATACATGAACAATGCAGAAATTATTGTTGATGTCAGGGTTAAAATACTACTTCATTTAATTAAAAAGAAGGTAAAGAAACAAAAGAACACATCCTAAAATCATAGTCATTCTAAATTCACATGACTGGAAGAAGTGATATTACCTGATAAAACCAAATCTAAGAAAACAAATCAGTTCTGCATACAGATCCTCCTTCCCTGACTTTTTTATATTCATCAGGACATTACCATGTCCATCTAACTTATCAATCACAATGGAGAGACATTCCTGACAATATATTGGAAGAAGATATACCTAAGTAAGTCACAAGAATGTACTTAACAAGAAAAGGATATATTTTTCAGGTCATACCTTGTTGGTTTTGTTACTTTTTAGAAGCAGTTCCTCTTCCAGCCAAGTTACACATAAAGGCTGACATGAGTTCTTAATGACATCATTATAAATGGCCAAGAAATTTCCCTTGCTTAAGGTAGCAGCATTCGCGGAAATACAATCAACCTGTAAAAGTTGCAAAATCATAAGTGATGACAACGAAACCACCTGCTTGTGTAGACAAAAAGAAATGGAAAATAGTCAAAGTGAATAATCATGAGTACTCCCTGCTAAAACACTACTACAAAATTAAAAAGTACACTCCCCTTGTGTAACGACCCGGCCGGTCGTTGTGTGTATTTGATCCCCGTTCCCCATTTGATACTCCTCTTGTGTGTATTTGTTGTTATGTGACTTGCGGGGATAGTTGGTTTGATTCCGGGAAGGTTTTGAAGTGAGTTGGAACACTTAGTTCCATTGTTGGAAGCTTAAGTACCTCCAGTATCACAAAAAAGTAATATTGACCACGGAAAAAATGACTTAGAAGTATTCTTAGAAAAGGTCAAATCCTGAACACAACCTTGAGGGATGCAAAGGCATGCATCAATGAAATGGTAGTGCACCAAATGCATCAATGAAATGGTATTTAACATTTTCCTTTATCTTCTATAAGTTTCATTAGTAATTACATTTAAACAGCCTTAATTACCTAATGTGTGATCAAAGAGAAATCTTCCATTCTAAAAAATCACCAACGTTCTATTCAAATTCACAGGGCAATAATAGAGACAGTGCCTGCCTCTTTCTTGAGTAACTGAAAAGATGCCCAAAGTAACCTCAACCTTGGACCCTCGGCAAGAGCATATAAATTTGAAGGCTGTCTTCTACGGTTTTGTTCGAATTCAACAGGTGCAGCACCAAAGTCCAATTCTTCTTTTGCAGAAGACAGAGAACTCAGGAGTTTTCCTTTCACTACATCCCAGGCAAATTTTGTGTTAATGTCATTGTCCTTTCTCCTGGCACAGCAAATAAAAGAAGAAATATCAGCAATAAAGAATGATACGTAAATTAAACCAAGTCAAAGAAAGTGAGCTACTAATACTACTTGCATCAGTAAAATGTTTCATCTAATACCGTTCTTACCTACCATAAGAGGAAGTCCCATCACTGTCCACATTTTTGCTTTGGATCTGTTCTCTAGTATTTGAAGGTATTACACCAGCTAGATATGTAAGAAAAATACTAGTCATCAGAAGCATTTGATCAATGGCAGGAACCAATTCAGAAGTTATTGCTGCATCAGCATTAACAAGAGAAGCGACGCTAAAACCCCTCTTCCAACTATGCATGTTTGGTCTGCTCTCCAGTTTTGTTAAGCTAGGAGTAATGAGCTTTGATATATTTGATGAAGGCAAGCGAGATACTCCACAATTTCCAAAGCAAAATCCCCTGAACCAAAAAATTGCAAGTATCAGACTACCACATAAAAAAAAATTCAAAAAGCTGGCTGTTGAACAATAAAAGAGGAGAGCATATTAAATCAAGAACAATTAAACAGCGTAAAGGGCACGTATCTTTGAGCATTCCCATCAAGTCTAACAACCAAAATACTAAGAGGATAAACAAGCTTCAAGCTTATAATAATGGTCAAATAAAACTGGAGTTATTGAAAGAGGAAATAAGACCTGTGTATCAACATAGCTAAGCTTTTAGACACAGAGAGCTGCTCTGAGAAATTTCCTTTGACCAGCAGCCTAGAACTTGATGGAAAGGCCACGAGTTCTGCCATCTATATTTTGCAGTCTTCCCAGTCAGAAGATCCTGTTGCTGGTTCGCATCCTACGAAAGGCCCAATCTGTCTCGGTTTCCCAAGCAACAGATACATAAAGCAAAAATAAATTTCATCGGTTGAGAATGTAAGAAAATTATGCTCTCCTACAATGCAAGAATAAAACCACAAATATGCATCCTAAGTGATCTACAGAAGCCATACATTTATACACATATATTCCATAAGAAAACATATTTGCCTTCTGTTTTCTGATAAGTACATATTTGCCTTTGTTTGTAATTGTATTAATACAGGGCTCATGGGATACTAACAAACTGTTTTACCATTTTTGTGCTCAGAAAGGCACCAGAGTCACTCCTGTACCCCTACTCCCATTCCCTCTCTTTGAAGAAAGAGGCAGCTAGTAGAGGTACGGGGATCGATAATTGTCACAAATGTCAATCTTACATGTTCTTATCAGAAAAAAGAAATGAGGAAGCCAGCTAGCTAGGTAACTCACTAAACTCAACATCCTGCATCAGAAATGACCTAAAATGCACCTTACAATACATGCACATTGTAACCAGACTACGGAAAGCTAGAACTGACACTTGAACCCTTCAAGCAAATTACAGTCTGCTCTTATCAGCATGACACAAAAGTATGACATAAGATACACAGGTGCACTTATCGAGGACCGCTAACACTGGTAATTCACAGAGTTCACTTACTGCATTCTGCTTGAATTATAACAAATAATTTTACAGATTTTTTAAATATATTTATACTCAAGTCCAAACTATTTTCCCACGGATTTAAAGGTGTTAGGCTCCTCCTCTATTGCACTATAGAGAGTTCAAATGCACAATGTTGCAGAATGCGGTTACAGTCGTGAAGCACATCAATAAGCTACGGTTCATTTACCGCCTCGTATTCATCAACTTACCTGTACACTTGCTTGAATTGATTGGTGCTTAGACATTTTAAGCAATTGAAAACTTGAAATTGAGAGTGAACAATGAAAAATGCATTACCTAGAAGTGTAAAGCTGTAAATGAACTTGGAATTGGAAACAACGACATAGATCGTAATTACATAGCTCCAGTACAATGAAAAGTAGCATTAATGGAGAAGTCAAAGGAGAAAATGATAGCGAAAAGCAGAATAAGGATGAGGATTTGTGGATGAGAAATGTGCGTACCTTGAGCTGGGGATAACCAACAGAATGACCCGACGAAGCACCAAAGGCCCACTCCCTAGGCAACGAACAACCACTCGAGGGTGAGCTATTTTCCCCTCTCTTTTTTTTCTTTTTTTTCTTTTTTTTTTTTGTTTTTTTTGTTCTTCGCCCAAAGTACTTTTCGAAATTAAAAGTATTACACACCTCATTAGTTCATTAGTGTTATAAATATATTATATTATGGATGTTCATTTAATATTTCGTTGTAAATAATCTTCCTGAAGAAGCTTATTCATATGGGACTCCACCGTAAATATATTTATCTATTTAGTACTCTATTGTAAATAAGCTTCCTGAAGAAGTTTATCACTTCGGTACCCGGTTATGGATAAACATTATCCTAGGTAGAAGATTATCCATACCGGGTATAATAAGTTTATCCATTCAGTACTCCGTTATGGATAAACATTGCTCTCAGTAGAAGATTATTCATATCTCGTATAGTAGCAGCTTACACAACAACTTGCGTAGCAGCTTGTAGTAGCAGCTTGCGTAGCAGCTTACACGGCAACTTCCTTTCTTCTATAAATAGAAGAGATTTCAGTTCATTATGTACATCAGTTTGAAGTTGAATAATATATCAGTTTCTCTCTATACTTGTCTTTACTTTATAGTCTTTATTTTATAACACGTTATCAGCACGAGACTCTGCCATCTCGAGCAAATATTTTGAAAGTATCTGAGGTAAGAACTTTCTTTTCCTAAATAATGTCAAATCTTTCTAAACTTGAATTTGTAGCCCTGGATATATCGGGCAAAAGCTACATGTCTTGGGTGCTTGATGCTGAAATTCATCTTGATGCGATGGGTCTGGCAGACACCATCAAAGACAAAAATCAGGCATCAAACCAAGACCGTGCCAAAGCAATGATATTCCTACGCCATCACCTTGATGAGGTCCTGAAAATGGAATATCTTACGGTTAAAGATCCAGTCATACTGTGGAATAATTTGAAAGATAGATATGACCACCTGAAGATGGTCGTTCTTCCACAGGCACGATATGATTGGATTCATCTAAGGCTACAAGATTTTAAATCTACTGATGAGTATAATTCTGCTATGTTCAGAATTATTTCTNTGAAGGATGAGAACTTTGGATAATATTAATCCATTCCCTGAAGTGAATGTGACAATATTAATATTCGGGTAAATATGAACACGCTCTTGATGTGAATATATTACAATTCACCTTCAGAAGAGGTAATATAATTAAGAGAATATATACTCAATATTTCATATTTTAAATTTGCTCCTGAAGAAGTAACACAATTGAAATTGCCTCCTGAAGTAGGAAAATATTATGAAGAAGAGTTTTCTTATGCTTAAACAATTATTTTACATTGTTTATTTGATTGTGATTTTCTCTCATGATACAAGAAGTGTATGAGAAATATTTGATAGTACAAAATGTATCAACAACTCCTGAAGAGCTAACTGTTTGCCTAAAGGATACATGACACCAGTAGTGCCCGATAAATATTAGACTGTGGATAATTAATGAAGGCTCTCGAAGAGCTTATATACAAATATGTCATTTATATTATATGATTATGGTCAAAACATATGTTGTAGTAAACCTGAAGTTTACTAATACAAATGGCTATCATATTGAGACTACAAATGATTGGAAGATTGATAATCTTCATGTTTCCACAATCATAGGGGGTAAAATAATATGTATGTGAGAAGTTACCTGCCTTATTCTTTAATTTGTACTATATCATGTATCACAGTAAACCAGAAGTTTACTAAAGCAAAAGTTTATGCCATAGTAAACCAGAAGTTTACTAAGAGATAGCACATGACATGATAAACTTGAAGTTTTCATTTACCATTTTTAAATGAGCTATTTGAGAATTCAGATAAGCATATACTAAAGAAATAGAAGATTCTTCAGAAATTCTCATGTGTTGCTTGTTCTCATAATGAATTGATTATACCAGCTAAAGTTGGGACTAAGACCCTTATTCTGAAATATATAAAAGGTGAATATGGGCCCGTTAACCTATCATGTGAACCATTTATAGGTGCATATATGAGATGGTTACATGTGTAATTATTGTCAACCTGCAGTTTGGCATTTGGAATTGCTTTTCTCGATTAAGAGCATAATTTTCATATTATGAAATCAAGACAGTTCATCTTGATGATGCTGGTTTATATCCAAGCTGGTTTAGCATTGAATACCTCTTATTAATGGATAAACCATTGCTTATGAGAACAAAGCTTCATGTGTTGGTCTAAGATTTTCTAAATTGCATATAGCAGCACTTGTATGCATCAGATCAACAATATATGATAAGTCCTCCCTTCACAATTGGTTTAGGATCAGAAACCAAATATTTTTACTATCTTTTGTTGCGTGGTATATGATTAATTTCTCTACCATAATACACAAAGATATGTTTCCCAAAGATGATTGGGGATATATGTTAGTTTTTCTAACATTTGGGGGATGGAATAAACAGTTGAAAAATATGCTATATGAATCGAATTATCATGATCCTCACTTAGAAGATAATTCAAGTCGAATGCCAGAAGCATTTGCTGATCCAAAATTAAATATCATATTTCAGCTGCAAATGCTCCTATTAAAATTAAAGTCCCTGAAGGATAGAGTTTACTGTACGCATGAAGCGTGGTAGACCAATCGGTTCCAAAGGTAACAATCCTTGAAAAATAGTAGGAGCTAATGATCAAAATGAGGAGGAAATAAGCTCTAGAAGAGCCCACGACATAACATTTCATGAAACTCCCGAAAAAGTTCAGGTACCTGAAAATAAAGAAAGTGATGAGATCTCCACAAGTTATGTCGCTTCGGAACTGACACAAAATGATCGTCGACGATATATTTAATACAATATAGTGCACAATATTGTAAAAGATTGTGAGGATCGGACTAGCAGTCCAGACACTTGAAGATGTCATACCATTTAGATACAAGTCTTAACCTATATGACTTATTTGACTAAATCTATATGAAGATCCTTGAAGGATTGAAAATGCCTGAAGCATATAATTCAAAGTCTTGAGAAATGTACTCGATCAAATTATAAAGATCTTTGTACGGTTTAAAGCAATCTGTGCGTGTGTGGTATAATCGCCTCAGTAAATATTTGCTGAAAGAAAGTTACATAAATTATGTTATTTGTCCATGTATTTTTATAAAGAAAATGTCATCAGAATTTGTTACACTTGTTGTTTATGTTGGTGACATAAATTGGAACTCCATAAGAGCTCCAAGAGGGTCTTAAAAATGCTTTTACATGGACAAAGTGTACCCATTAAGTACGCCAATGGATATTCAATCACTTGAATTGAATAAGGATCCGTTCCAACTTCTATAAGAGGATGAGGAGCTCCTTGGTCCTGAAATACTTTCTCTCGGTGTAGATGGTGCACTTATTTATCTTGCTAATGCTAACAAAAGTGGTGTAGATCGTATTGGTAATAAAGATGCAGGTTATTTATCCGATACTCACAAAGCTCAATTTCAAACCGGTAAGCAGAGAGTGCATATGATTGAGATCAGTGATTCATTCGAGAAACATGTGGGTTGGAATGTGATAAAAGACCCATAATATTATACGAAGACAATGTTTCATGCATAGCACTATTAAAGGGAGGATTTATAAAAGGAGATAGAACGAAGAACATTTCACCAGAATTATTCTACACACACGATCTTCAGAAAAGTGGTGACATTGATGTGCAACAAATCCGTTCAAGTGATAATCCAACAGATTTATTCATTAAATCTTTGCCAACTTCAACTTTTGAGAAGACGGTATATAAGATTGGAATGCAGAGACTCAAATATTTGAAACAAGATTTTCATTAGGGGGAGTAAAATATGCGATGCGCTCTTTTTCCCTTATTAAGGTTTTTTCCCATGGGGTTTTCCTTATAAGGTTTTTAATGAGGCACCTAGCAATGCGTATTACTAAATATGTGTACTCTTTTTCCTTCACTAGGATTTTTCCCACGTGGTTTTTCCTAGTAAGGTTTTAATGAGACACATTATATTTTAATGAACATCCAAGGGGAAGTGTTATAAATATATTATATTATGAATGTTCATTTAGTACTCCGTTGTAAATAATCTTCCTGAAGAAGCTTATCCATATAGGACTCTACCGTAAATATGTTTATCTATTTAGTACTCTATTGGAAATAAGCTTCCTGAAGAAGTTTATCACTTCGGTACCCGGTTATGGATAAACATTACCCTAGGTAGAAGATTATCCATACCGGGTATAATAAGTTTATCCATTCAGTATTCCGTTATGGATAAACATTGCTCTTAGTAGAAGATTATCCATATCTGGTATAGTAGCAGCTTACACAGCAGCTTACACAGCAACTTGCGTAGCAGCTTACACAACAACTTGTAATAGCAGCTTATACAACAGCTTGTAGTAGCAGCTTGCGTATCAGCTTACACAGCAGCTTGCGTAACAGCTTACACAGCAACTTCCTTTCTTCTATAAATAGAAGAGATTTCAGTTCATTATGTACATCAGTTTGAAGTTGAATAATATATCAGTTTCTCTCTATACTTGTCTTTACTTTATAGTCTTTATTTTATAACAATTAGTCCCTTTTTACATGACACACTTTACTTTTTAATTTATTCAAAACAAATTATTTTTTTCTCTATTTAATAGGAAAGCCATCGCATTTTATCTATATCGTTTCGCATAGTCCGGACTCCGGAGCAACAAATCGTGTTTTATTAATTAATTTTATTAATCAATAAGGACGAAAATATAGCTCGTTTTTGTAATAATAAGAGCATAATTAACTCTAGAAATTATCAAGGCATATATACGGTCAAACCTCTCTATAATAGTCTCATTTGTTCGCAATATTTTTGGATGTTATAGCGAAATGTTATTATAGAGAACATATATTATAGCGTAACATGAAAATTGGTTCCGAAAAAACTTCAC